ATAGTGGGAGCCACAGGACCCCTGTTCAAGGTCATAGTGGGAGCCCAAGGACCCCTGTTCAAGGTCATAGTGGGAGCCACAGGACCCCTGTTCAAGGTCATAGTGGGAGCCACAGGACCCCTGTTCAAGGTCATAGTGGGAACCACAGGACCCCTGTTCAAGGTCATAGTGGGAACCACAGGACCCCTGTTCAAGGTCATAGTGGGAGCCACAGGACCCCTGTTCAAGGTGATCCTGGTACGCCCAAGGGCCCATGTCCAAGATGGTCATGTCACGGCCAAGGGCCCACGTCCCAGGTGGTCACGGTACATCGAGGGCCCATGTTCCTAGCCACTGTGGTACAACCAAGGTCATGGGCTTCCTAACGGGTAGGTCTGGGACTCAGGTCCTCAGCATCTGAGACTCTCCTCCACCAGGATGTGGCGCCGGCTGCGACTCGGGGACTGACAGTCCGTAGCCTGTGGAGTCCGTCTGGGCGTTAGCAGACCTGAAGTGGAGCTCCCGCCGCTCTGAGCTCAGGAAGAGGGAAGAAAGCAGCAGCGTGGAACCTGCCGGGGCCTGCGGGAGGCCGAGGCCAGAGTCAGCAGAAACGAGAGAGAGGCCAGCTGCATCCATCCGCACTCGGGGTGGGGGGGGGAAGGGGCAGGGAAGGGCTTAATGGGATGATTATTTCAATTATCTAATTAAGAAAGATTACAGCTGCACAAAGACCGAGCGGGCCTCCAAGGTGATTTGGAAAAATGGAATAAAAAGTTGATTAGCAGGGTGGGCCCTCAGTGGAATCCGGAGGCTCCAGGGACTCCCCAGGGAAGGCTGAGGCCCCGGGGGACAATTAGCCACCGAGGACCCCTTCCTCCCCTCCCCCATCGAAGGCCGTGTGGTCACTGCTGGAGAGTCCAGGGGTCCAGCTCCCTCCCTCCCTCCCTTCCTGATTATTTTTGGACTATTCCAGCTAACCGACGTGCAAAGACCACGGGACATGGCCACTGTCCCCAGGCCCCATCCACGGGTGCAGCCCCGACACTTCTTAAAAATACAGAAGGGATCTGTCAAAATCAAAAAGGCAAAGCCTGTCACATCCCAGTCCGGAGCTCTGGCTTCGTTTGGAAAGTCAGATCCGACCTGGGGTCCGCGTTCCCGGGGACCAGGTTGAGATTCTTCAAGTGGGGGACCTCCCTCCACCTGTCCCCTGGGTCACGTGCTCCCCGGCTCCTCCAGCCGTGCCCTCTGTGCTCAGGAGGTGAAGGTCGCCAACCTTTGTCATCATGCTGACGCTATGGAGGGAGGAGGCTCAGCCCGGCCTCCGCCTCTCACCCTGTGCCTGGGCGAGTTGGCTGTGAGCGTGTGAGCCTTGGCTTCGGGAGCCAGAGCTTCGACCGCTCACGTACGTGGAGAGAGAGGCCGAGGGAGCTCCCTGTGCCACGTGCTGTGGCAGAGCTTCTGGTGGCCCTGTGCCACGCAGCTCTGCTCTGCCCGCCTTCCGCCGTGTTGTCCTGCCTCACCTCGGCCCAGAGCAGTGGGAGCCCCTGGGCCTTGGCCTGGGACCTCTGAATACAGTGTACCCCCAAAGAGACCTTTCTTCCTCTGAGTCGTTCTCGTGAGGCATTTGAGTCCCAGCAACCCAAAGCCGAGTGACCCAGAGTCCAATGAAGAAATAACTGGAGTGAATTGTGGCGAGACCATTGGTGAACCCCGCGTCCACTCGAGATTAAAGCAAGTACACGATGAGGTTCCGGAAGGGACTCTCCCGAGAGAAACCTGGGAAATTGGAAATGTGACCAGCGGAAGCGTGGAGAAGGTAGGACAGAAACATTTCAATAGGGTGATTCTCTCCTTTGACTAGACGGAGACCAGAGAAAGCCAGTCAAAGCTGACATGTCCACGTGTCGTGGGGAAGAAATGGAACCTTAACTGGTTTTGGGGGTGGGGGGTTGACTGGGGATTGAACTCGGGGGCACTCGACCCCTGAGCCCCATCCCCAGCCCTATGTTGTATTTTAGTTAGAGACAGGGCCTCACTGAGTTGCTTAGCTCCTTGCTAAATTGCTGAGGCTGGCTTTGGACTTGTGATCCTCCGGCCTCAGCCTCTCGAGCCCCTGGGATGATAGGCTTTTGCTACCACAACTAGCAGACGCTTAACTTTTTGTTACAAAAATAGTCATAAAAAAATAAGATGCTGGGCTGGGGATGTGGCTCAAGCGGTAGCGCGCTCGCCTGGCATGCGTGCAGCCGGGTTCGAGCCTCAGCACCACATACCAACAAAGATGTTGTGTCCGCCGAGAACTAAATGAAATAAATATTAAAAATTCTCTCTCTCTCTCTCTCTCTCTCTCTCTCTCTCTCTCTCTCTCTCTCTCTCTCCTCTCTCACTTTCTCTTTAAAAAAAAAAATAAGATGCTTATCTGAAAGTGGGTAGCCTCTGTAACACTCTGGGTTCAATCTCCAATTCCTCCAAAAACAAGATAAATCAAAGTAGGTCGTCAGAGAGAGGGAAGGAGGGGGAAGTAGGAGAAATTTTAGGACATTTTATTTTGATTCATGGTAGAAAACTAACGGGCCATGCCAAAAGAAATGAGGGATAAAGGGAATTATAAAAAAGTGTTCTAATGATAAGCCAGGACAAGAAAGGTACAGACCTTAAGACTTATCTGAAGAAACATAGGCTCCTATAAAAAAACACAGAAAAGCCACACAGAACCATATCCAAAAGTAATAAAAACAGAAGCCAAACAAAAACTAACATGACTAAGACCAAAAAATATCTACCATATCATCAAATGATCTAATCTGATCTATTAAAAATGTCTATACAGCAGAGCGCAGTGGCTCATGCCTGTCATCCCAGCAGCTCAGGAGGCTGAGGCAGGAGGATCATGGGTTCAAAGCCAGCCTCAGCAACTTAGCGAGGCCCGAAACTACTCAGCGGGACCCTGTCTCTAAATAAAATGAAATATAAAAAGGGCTGGGGATGGGGCTCCGTGGTAAAGCATCCCTAGGTGCAATCCCCAGTTCCAAAATAAACAAACAAACAAAATAAAAGGGAGGGATCCGGATGTTATCACTCCAACACCTAGAATTCCTCCATCTCTGCAAATACAGGAACAGGTTGAACTGGCTGTCCACCACTCGTCGAACTGAATTTTCATTGCTTCCAAATTAAAGAGTCCTGGTTAAACCAGGTCTTGGTTATCTACCAGGTATGAACTAATCCCGTATTAGTTACCTATCTCTGCTTCATCATTACCCCCAAAACCTAGTAGCATCAAACAACAACAGTAAGCATACAGCATGTCCCACCGTTTCTGTGGGTGAGGAATTTGAGAGCAACTTGGTGGGGCATTTCTGGGCCACACGCTGTCCTCAGGTTGTGGTCAGGACATCCATCATTGGGGACTGCAATTATCTGTGGCCTTGACTGGAGCCGGAAGATGAGCTTCCAAGATGGCGCTCGTGAGCTGGGGCTGGGGCTCAGTGGTACAGCTCTTGCCTGGCACGTGTGAGGCACTGGGCTCAATCCTTGGCACCAAATATGAATGAATGAATGAATGAATGAATGAACGAATGAACCAACAACAAATAAATTTAAAAAAAGAAAAATTATATATAAATAAATTTGGCGCCTGTATGGTTGGAAGTTCCCCACACCGTCCTCCCACCAGGGCCTCCTGAGCATGCATAAAACATGGTGGCCAGATTCAGAGAGAGAAGGTGAAGGAGAGGAAGAAGACCAGGTGAGGGTCCTACTCTTTTTATGACCCAACCTCTGAAGTCCCAGTATTGTTGGTAGCGGTGGGTCACTGGGCGGAGCCCGTGTTGGACGTAAAGGGAAATGACCCTCTCAGCTCTGGAACAGGACCTGGGTTCTCGTCCTGGCCTTGCCACCAGCGGGCTGGGAGGCCCCCCGACATGTCGTTCTGAGCCTTTGTCTCCTCTTCTGCCAAATGGGGGCCGGGCTGTGACCAGTGAGCCCTAAAGTCCTACGAGTGTTTCCACCAGAGACGCTGAAGGCTGCGTCCACCGACGTCCCTGGAGGGGCCTGGTCAGCTTGGCTTCTCCTGCCATCTACCCGGTGACTCTGTGCATACATTCCATCAGGAATGTCACCTGCCCCTCCTGCAGGCCCTCAGCCTCGCGGAGCTGGACTCGATCCCAGGGGCCGTCTCGCTGAACCACCCAGACGTGCGCACGCCGGACACCTGTGCGTGTCACCAGGGCTATTGGGGAATCATGGCCCCCGACGGCCGCTGACTGATGCCCAGCTCAGGGGGAGGAGGTCTGGACATGGGGAGGAGGCAGGGCGGCCACAGGCCGTCGGCTGATGGGATGGTTGGGGCGGAGGCGCCTGAATGAGATTAATAAGGATCATGATAGAGACGTGCGTTAAGTGGGCGACGAGGGTTTGCAGCCCGGCACTGAACTTGCCTTTTATCTCTTCCATCCCACAGCAACCTCACGGGGAAGGCGACGTGTGCACCATGTTGTGGGTGAGGCACTGGAGGCCAAGACCGGTGGCCTGATACGGGGCCACGTGGACACATCCGGGCCCCCTGGACGCACGCGTCTCTGCCCGTTTCCCACAGGAGCCTCTCCAGACCCAAACAGAAGTTTCCAGAATCAGTCAGATTTTGTTGCCATCTTCAATTTCACTTTTTTTTTTTTTTTTTGGTACCAGGGATTGAACTCGGGGACACTCGACCCCTGAGCCCCATCCCCAGCCCTATTTTGTATTTTATTTAGAGACAGGGTCTCCCTGAGTTGCTTAGGGTCTCGCTGTTGCTGAGGCTGGCTTTGAGCTCTCGATCCTCCTGCCTCAGCCTCCCGAGGGCTGGGATGACAGGCGTGGGCCACCGCGCCCGGCTTCGATTTATTTTCTTCCTCATCGACGTGGGGTTTTTCCTCCACATTCGATCCGATGGTTAGCCTGTAGGAGCGGCTCGTCACTGTAATGCACTCCTGAGGTCCCCCGCAGCGTGATCGTGCGTTAAGTGGGTGTCGAGGGTTTGCAGCCCGGCACCAAGACAAGGGAAGCCCCTTGTCTCACCCAAGACAAGGGAAGCCCCTCGGCCTCAAACCCACCTGGGCCATGCAGTGTGTCCAGGCCAGCCCAAGACGTCTCAGGGCCCCGTACGGCTGCCCGGGCCACCCGTGGCTCTGGAGGAGGAAGGAGGATTAATCAGAAACACCAGAGCCAGATGGGTGGCCAGCGGCTAAAAGGGAAAGACTCCAAAGGGACAGACAGGGCTGTCAAGTGTCACAGCCCGGAGGCCCCGCGGTGGGCGGGACAGCTGTGTGAGTGGCCGCAACCTGCCACGCCCCGGGCAGCCCGGGTGACCCAGCTGAGGTCACGGGACGGTCAGCTTTCCTCCATGGCGAGAAACGCCTGAGAAATGGAGTTAAAATGAGGGAAGGTTCCTTTTAACCCCCAGTCTGGGAGGCTGCGGCGGTGGTCAGCCGGGCCTGCTGCTTGGGGCCGTGGTGAGGCAGGGCAGAGGAGGCCCGTCCCCTGGGGGTGGGACCTGGGATGGCGCCTGCTGGGCCAGCGCTCTGTGGCTGGGCTGGGGCAGAGAAAGGGGCACCGAAGAGGGCCATTGGCACTGCTGCCCGGCTCCACACGGCCACCACCGCGGTCCAGCCAAGGGTAGAGGGAGGGTCTCTCCTCCAGGCCAGCGCCGTGTACACCGACTGGACCAGGGACCCTGCCCGGCTCACAGGCCCGGCCTCATTGGCCAGGCCTAGGACACCACCATGGTACTGGACGTTGCCATGACTGGCACCTCCATCAAACCCACGGGGGAATCAGGCCACGCTCTCGCTAGTGACCTTTGCCCCACCTACGGTAGTAAAGAAACGGCGACCCAGAGAAGGTGAGCAATTTTCCTAAGGACACACAGCCAGTGGCTGTGGCAGGGTTCCATCCCGGGTCTTCCTACGTCCGGGGCCCAGGCTTCCTTCCCCCAGGGTGGCCGGGTTCACAGCTGGAACCACAAAACTGCCCCCGGGCCTTTACCTTAACGTGGTGACGCTGCCGTGGTGACGATGACGTTCTGAAGCAGGTCAGCGGAGGACCGTTCTCCCGTTTGGAAGAGGCCTTCTGTGCCTGGTAATGCCATCAGTCCTAATGAACGGGCCCAGCGAGGCACGGGGGGACGCAGACGGGTGGGGGCGGGTGTCCCAGCAGTCCCAAGAGCTGTCCAGGGCAGAAGGAAAGTCCCCCGCAGAGCCGGCAAGGTCCTGGGTCTCCCTCGAGTGCCCCACGGCCAGGGGAGGTTGGACGTGACGCGAGTGACGGGTTTTCACAGAGCCCCACAAACCGGAGAGGGGAGGGGAGGTGGGAGCCCCGGGGAGGGACGGGGGACTGGTCCCCACCTGGATGGCGTCACAGCAAAGATCCTGTGGCTCCTGCACCAGCTGCTCACGGAGCCACCACCCAGACGCCTCTGTGGGCGCTAAACTCCTCTCCACCCCCACAGCTGAGGCCTCAAGCCTGGCCCTGCCCGCGTCCACTGCCCCAGGCGCTGCCCATGCCCACTGCCCCAGCCTCAGCGGGCCTCCTGCCTGGTTCACAAGGCCAGCTGCAGAGGAGGGAGCTGGCCCTGGGGCAGCCGGGCCCGAGGATCCGTCTCTGACGCTTGGAGTGGACGCTGGTGATGGGGCCACTCCAGGGGCCACGCCTGGG